TACGTCATACAGGCATTGTTTACGTCATACATACATTGTTTACGTCATACAGACATTGTTTACGTCATACGGGCATTGTCGCGTCATACAGACATTGTTTACGTCATACAGGCGTGTTACGTCATACAGACATTGTTTTACGTCATACAGACATTGTTTACGTCATACAGACATTGTTTACGTCATACAGACATTGTTTACGTCATACAGACATTGTTTACGTCATACAGACATTGTTTACGTCATACAGACATTGTTTACGTCATACAGACATTGTTTACGTCATACAGACATTGTTTTATCATACAGACATTGTTTACGTCATACAGACATTGTTTACGTCATACAGACATTGTTTACGTCATACGGACATTGTTTCAAGCGGTTGTATTAATAACGTTCTCACACAGTTTATTACATCAAGTGGCTCACGTGTTGTTGGTATTACAGTCTCCATGAGTCAGATTAAGTATCTTAAATTCATTATGTTGATGACTCCCGTTGAATACGGGGTTATGTCATTATACTCAAGGGGTTAAGTCATCATACTCAAGGGGGTTAATACATCATACTCAAGGGTTAAGTCACCATACTCAGGGGGGCTTATACATCATACTGAAGGGTTAAGTCATCATACTCAAGGATAAAATAATCATTAATATTCTTACGTACAAAATATCTACAATGAAGTGTGAAAATATTATTGAATTCGTAATTAATCACAATAACTTTTTACATGGACTAATTATTGATGTGGTTAATAGTATATAAATTATCTCCATTACCATATAAATTATATCACAATTGCGTTACACCTTCCGTCACATTATCTGACCCTTAACCACAGGGGCAGGATAATGGTATAATATCAGAACATTAACTATTTGTAACTAAAGATGAATTTCCGTTGGTAGTGATCAGTGTTTCCAACCATATCCGTCTGGTTATTATCATGTTAATTAGTAGAAGTGAGGGAAAGGTGTGGGGAGGTGAGGGAAGGAGGGGGTGAGGGAAGGAGGGGTGAGGGAGGAGGTGGTGAGGGCCTCCAGGGATAGTTCAAGACTCACTGGTCGTAAGAGAACAAGGGACAATTATGTGATTACTTGTTGTTATCACCCAAAGTGGAGGTGTGGGGGAACCTCCTCCTACCTGGTCAACAGTGGGGTAGGGAGGAGGAGTGGGGAGAGGAGGGTAGGGAGGGGAACTGGAAGGGAGGAAGGAAGGGAGACAAGGGTGAAGAGGGAAGGGAGAAGGGAAGGGTGGTGAAGGGAGGGAGGGGGGTGAAGAAGGAAGGGAGGAAGTGTTGTGCCATTGTCTTCCTCCCACCCATAACAAAAACCCTAACGCTTATAATTATTTCCCATCCTTTGTTTACATTGCGGTCGTGACATCAGTCGGAGACGTTCGTCAGTGATGTATCCAACAAAACACGTGGTTTTTTTTGGGGGTGGGGTGGGGGGGTGGGGGTGGGGGGGGGTGGGGGGTGATGATGAGGGCATTATTTCACTAAAACCACCAAGAAATGCCAAAAAAAAAAAAAAAATTAATTACGACTCGATCTAATAGTTGATCCACTTCCAAAAATTGTGAATGTAAATGTGAAAATATATTTGTCTGTCGTTTTAAAATAACATAGAGAAAAATATTATGTAGGTATAGCTGTACATTGGTGTTGTGGGACACTTTTACACACACCACACATACACACATACACACACACACACACACACACACACACACACACACACACACACACACACACACACACACACACATGAAATAATTTTGCTTGAGGGAGAGGAATTGAAAAAGGGGGTGAGAGGGGGTGGATAGGGAGAGGGGTTCAGGAGAGTGAGAGAGGTTAGTAGAGAGGGGTAGAGAGTGAGTGGGAGGTATAATGAGAGGAGGTAAAGAAGATGAATCTGATGTAAGATGTGAGGCAAGAGGGGAGGAAGTGAGAGGGGAGAGGGGGAGGAAGTGAGAGGTGATGTGAGGGGAGAGTGGGAGGAAGTGAGAGGTGATGTGAGATATGAGTGAGGGGAGAGGGGTAGGAGTGAGAGGTGATGTGAGATATGAGGGGAGAGGGGGACGGGCAGAGGTGATGTGAGAGGAGTGGGGTGGAGAGTGGGGAGATCTATAAAATAGTCACAAAGGAGAGTTTAAAAGGCTCTCTCTTACTGGAGGAGAGAGAGAGAGAGAGGAGAGGGGGTTAGGTTAGGTTACGTTAGGGTAGGTTAGATTAAGGTAGGGTAGGTTAGGTAAGGTAGATTAATGTAGGCCAGGTTAAGGTAGGTTAGATTAAGGTAGGCCAGGTTAGCTGCAGGCCAGGTTGGTGCAGGTTAGATTAAGGAGGCTGGTTAAGGCATGTTAGATTGGTGCAGGTTAGATTAAGGTAGGCCAGGTTAAGGTAGGCCAGGTTAAGGTGGGCTGGGTTAAGATAAGTTGGGTTAAGATAGGCCAGGTTAAATAGGTTAGATTGCGGTAGGCAGGTTAAGGTAGGTTAGATTGAGTTAGGCCAGGTTAAGGTAGGCTAGATTAGGTAGGTTAGATTAAGGAGTGGCTAAGTTAAGGTAGGTTAGATTAGGTGAGCTGGGTTAGGTAGGTTAGATTAAGGTAGGCTAGGTTAAGGTTGGTTAGATTAAGGTGGGCTGGGTTATGGTAGGTTAGATTAAGGTAGGCTAGGTTAAGATAGGTTAGGCTAGGTTATGGTAGGCCAGGTTAAGGTAGGCCAGGTTATGGTGGTTAGATTAGGTAGGCTAGGTTAAGATAGGTTAGGCTAGGTTAAGGTAATGCATTTATTAGTAAAAACACACAACATTTTCTAACGCTAATTTCATGTTTTGAAAAGACAACCTGAAAATAAAGGTCCTGGGGCTGGTGTGTGTGTGTGTGTGTGTGTGTGTGTGTGTGTGTGTGTGTGTGTGTGTGTGTGTGTGTGTGTGTGTGTGTGTGTGTGTGTGTGTGTGTGTGGGGAGGAGTTGTGAGAGATGAGGAACGGGGAGAGAGGAAGGAGAAGGAGAGGAAGGAAGGAGGAGAGGAAGGGAGGAAGGGGAGAGGAGAGGAAGGAAGGGAGAGAAGGAGGAAGGAAGGAGAAGGAGGGAAGGAAGAGAAGGAAGGCAGGGGAGAGGAGAAAGGGAGGAGGAAGGGGAAGAGAGAGAGGGAGGAAGGAGAGAAGGAAGGAGAAGGAGGGAAGGGAGTGAAGGGGAGAGGAGAGGGAGGGAGGGAAGGAAGGAGGGAAGGAAGGGAAGGAAGGGAAGGAGGGAGGAGGAGGAAGGGAGAGGAGGAGAGGAAGGGAGAGAGGAAGGGAGGAAGGGAGGGAGGGAGGGGAGGGAGGAGGGAGAGGAAGGAGGGGAGAAGGGGAGGGAAGGGAGGGGGAGGAGGGGGAGGAGAGAAGGAGAAGGACCTATGAGGTTTACAAAATTAATCGTATTAATGTTTGCTGTTGGAATATTTTTGGCTGTCAGTGGTCGTAGTTACAGCTGTCAATGGTCGTGATACAGCTGTCGGTGGTCGTAGTTACAGCTGCATCAATGGTCGTGGATACAGCTGTCAGTGGTCGTGGTCACAGATGTCCGTGGCCGTAGTTACAGCTGTCAGTGGTCGTAGTTACAGCTGTCAGTGGTCGTAGCTACAGGCTGTCAGTGGTCGTGGTTACAGATGTCAGTGGTCGTAGTTACAGCTGTCAGTGGTCGTAGTTACAGCTGTCAGTGGTCGTGGTTACAGCTGTCAGTGGTCGGTTACAGATGTCCGTGGTCGTAGTTACAGCTGTCAGTGGTCGTAGTTGCAGGCTGTCAGTGGTCGTAGCTACAGCTGTCAGTGGTCGTGGTTACAGATGTCAGTGGTCGTAGCTACAGCTGTCAGTGGTCGTAGCTAAAAGCTGTCAGTGGTCGTGGTTACAGCTGTTAGTGGTCGTAGTTACAGCTGTCGTGGTCGTAGTTACAGCTGTCAGTGGTCGTAGTTACAGCTGTCAGTGGTCGTAGTTACAGCTGTCAGTGGTCGTGGTTACAGCTGTCAGTGGTCGTGGTGCAGATGTCCATGGTCGTAGTTAGAGCTGTCAGTGGTCGTAGTTACAGCTGTCAGTGGTCGTAGCTACAGCTGTCAGTGGTCGTGGTTACAGATGTCAGTGGTCGTAGTTACAGCTGTTAGTGGTCGTAGTTACAGCTGTCAGTGGTCGTAGTTACAACTGTCAGTGGTCGTAGTTACAGCTGTCGTGGTCGTAGTTACAGCTGTCGGTTTGTCGTGGTTACAGATGTCAGTGGTCGTAGTTACAGCTGTCAGTGGTCGTAGTTATAGCTGTCAGTGGTCGTAGTTACAGCTGTCAGTGGTCGTAGTTACAGCTGTCAGTGGTCGTAGTTACAGCTGTCATTGGTCGTAGTTACAGCTGTCAGTGGTCGTAGTTATAACTGTCAGTGGTCGTAGTTATAGCTGTCAGTGGTCGTAGTTACAACTGTCCGTGGTCGTAGTTTCAGCTATCAGTGGTCGTAGTTATAGCTGTCAGTGGTCGTAGTTACAGCTGTCAGTGGTCGTAGTTACAGCTGTCAGTGGTAGAGTAAACAATCTCTTGGGTGTAGTCAAAAGAAGATGACTCATTAAAAAACCTGAGGATCCATGTGAGGGCCTTGTGAGGGCCTTGTGAGCAGGGGCCTTGTGAAGGAATCTGTGAGGGCCTTGTGAGGGCCTTGTGAAGATCTATGTGAGGGCCTTGAGGGGGCCTTGTGAGGGCCTTGGGGATCTATGTGAGGGCCTTGTGAGGGGGCCTTGTGAGGGCCTGTGAGGATCTATGTGAGGGCCGAGGGCCTTGGAGGATCTATGTGAGGGCCTTTGAGGGGCCTGTGAGGATCTATGTGAGGGCGCCTTGTGAGGCTTTGTGAGGGATCCATGTGAGGCCATGTGAGGGCCCAGGGGTGTGAGGGACTGTGAGGGATCCATGTGAGGGCCATGTGAGGGCCTTGTGAGGCCTTGTGAGGACTGTGAGGATCCATGTGAGGCCTTGTGAGGATCTATGTGAGGGGCCTGAGGGCGCTTTGAGGGCCTTGTGAGGCCTTGTGAGGATCCATGTGAGGGCTTGTGAGGGCCTTGTGAGGCTGTGGGGGCCTTGTGAGGATCCATGTGAGGCCTTGTGAGGATCTATGTGAGGCCTTGTGAGGATCCATGTGAGGGCCTTGTAGAGGCTGTGAGGGCTTGTGAGGATCCATGTGAGGGCCATGTGAGGGCCTTGTGAGGGCCTTGTGAGGACTTTGTAGGATCCTGTGAGGGGCCATGTGAGGCCTTGTGAGGCCTTGTGAGGTTTGTGAGGATCCATGTGAGGGCTGTGAGAATCTATGTGAGGGCCGGGGGCCTTGAGGGCCTTGTGAGGGCCTTGTGAGGATCCATGTGAGGGCCTTGTGAGGGCCTTGTGAGGGCTCAGGGGCCTTGTGAGGCTTTGTGAGGGCCTTGTGAGGATCATGTGGGGGGCCTTGTGGGGGCCTTGTGAGGCCTATGTGAGGATCCATGTGAGGGCCTTGTGAGGATCCATGTGGGCCTTGTGAGGGCCTTTGAGGATCCATGTGAGGGCCTGTGAGGGGCCTTGTGAGGGCCTGTGAGGCCTTGTGAGGATCCATGAGGGCCTTGTGAGGGCCTTGTGAGGTGCGAGGATCCATGTGAGGGCCTGGAGGGCCTTGTGAGGGCCTTGTGAGGGGCCTTGTGAGGATCCATGTGAGGTCTGTGAGGATCTGTGAGGGGCCTTGTGAGGATCCATGTGAGGGCCTTGTGAGGGCCTTGTGAGGACCTTGTGAGGATCCATGTGAGGATCATGTGTGAGGGCCTGTGAGGGCTGTGAGGGCCTTGTGAGGATCCATGTGAGGCCTTATGGGGCCTGAGGGTGCTGAGGCCTTGTGAGGGCCTTGTGAGCCTTGTGGTGTGAGGGCCTTGTGAGGGCCTTGTGAGGATCCATGTGAGGGCCTTGTGAGGGCCTTGAGGCTGTGAGGATCCATGTGAGGGCCTTGTGAGGGCCTTGTGAGGGCCTTGAGGGGCCTTGTGAGGGCCTTGTGAGGATCCATGTGAGGGCCTTGTGAGATCCATGTGAGGGCCTTGTGAGGGCCTTGTGATGATCCATGTGAGGGCCTTGTGAGGATCCATGTGAGGCCTTGAGGGCTGTGAGGGCCTTGTGAGGGCCTTGTGAGGGGATCCATGGGGGCCTTGTGAGGGCCTTGTGAGGATCCATGTGAGGGCCTTGGGGGGCCTTGTGAGGGTGAGGATCCATGTGAGGGCCTTGTGAGACTGTGGGGGCCTTGAGGATCATATGGGGCCTGTGAGGATCCATGTGAGCCTTGTGGAGGGCCTTGTGGGGGCCTTGTGAGGATCCACATGAGGGGCCTTGTGAGGGCGCTGTGAGGACCTGTGAGGGCCTTGTGAGGGCCTTGGGGGACCTTGTGAGGGCCTGAGGATCCATGTGAGGGCCTTGTGAGATGTGGGGGCCTTGTGAGGCCTTGTGAGGGGCCTTGTGAGGGGGATCCATGTGAGGGCCTTGTGGGGTGTGAGATATGTGAGGGCCTTGTGAGGATCCTGTAGGGGGCTTCTGAGAGGCCTGTGAGGGCTGTGAGGATCTATGTGAGGCCTTGTGAGGCCTTTGAGGATCTATGTGAGGGCCTTGTGAGGGCCTTGTGAGGGCCTTGTGAGGATCTATGTGAGGCCTTGTGAGGATCCATGTGGGGCCTTGTGAGGGGCACTTGGGGGCTCTTGTGAGCCTCCAGGCCTTGTGAGGCCTTGAGATCCATGTGAGGGCCTTGTGAGGCCTTGTGAGGACCTTGTGAGGGCCTTGTGAGGGCCTTGTGAGGGGGCCTTGTGAGGGATCTATGTGAGGGCCTTGTGAGGGCCCGTGAGGATCTATGTGAGGGGCCTTGTGGGGCCTTGTGAGGCTATGTGAGGGCCTTGTGAGGGCCTTGTGGGGATCTATGTGAGGGCCTTGTAGAGGCTTTGTGAGGATCCATGTAGGGCCATGTGAGGGGCCTTGGGGGCTGTGAGGACTGTGAGGGATCCATGTGAGGGCCATGTGAGGGGCCTTGTGGTCTTGTGAGGGACTTTGTGGAGGATCCATGTGAGGGCCTTTGAGGATCTATGTGAGGGCCTTGTGAGGGGCCTTGTGAGGGCCTTGTGAGGGCCTTGTGAGATCCATGTGGGGGCGCAGACCTTGTGAGGATCCATGTGAGGGCCTTGTGGAGGGCCTTGGGGCCTTGAGGATCCATGTGAGGCCTTGTGAGGATCTATGTGAGGCCTTGTGAGGATCCATGTGGGCCTTTGTGAGGGCCTTGTGAGGGCCCTGTGAGGATCCATATGAGGGCCTTGTGAGGATCCATGTGAGGGCCTTGTGGGGGCCTTGTGAGGGCCTTGAGGATCCATGTGAGGGCCTTGTGAGGGGCCTTGTGAGGACCTGGGGGGCCTTGTGAGGGGCCTTGTGAGGATCCAGGGTTTGTGAGGGCCGCAGGGCCTTGTGAGGGGATCCATGTGAGGGCCTTGTGAGGGCCCATGGGGGGCCTTGTGAGGGTTGTGAGGATCAGCAGGGGGCCTTGTGGGGCCTTGTGAGGATATGTGTGGGTCCTTGTGAGGATCCATGTGAGGGGCCTTGTGAGGGCCATGCAGGGGGCACTGTGAGGCCATGCAGGGCCTTAGAGGGCCATGCTAGGGCCTGGGGAGGCATGCGAGACGTGTGAGGGGCCATGTGAGGGCCTTGTGGGGGCTGAGGGCTGTGAGGGACTGTGTGGGGACTTGTGGGATCCATGTGAGGATCCTATGTGAGGGCAGAGGCCTTGTGAGGCCTAGAGGTCCATAGGGCCTTGAGGGGCCTTGTGAGGGCCTGTGAGATCCATGTGAGGCCTTGTGAGGGCCTTGTGAGGGGCCTTGTGAGGGCCTTGTGAGGGCCTTGTGAGGATCCATGTGAGGGCCTTGTGAGGATCTATGTGAGGGCCTTGTGAGGATCCATGTGAGGGCCTTGTGAGGGCCCTTGTGAGGATCCATGTGAGGGCCTTGTGAGGATCCATGTGAGGGCCTTGTGAGGCCTTGTGAGGATCCATGTAGGGCCTTGTGAGGGGCCTTGTGACCTTTGAGGGCCTTGAGGGCCTTGTGAGGGCCTTGTGAGGATCCATGTGAGGGGCCTTGTGAGGGCCTTGTGAGGGCCTTTGAGGATCCATGTGAGGGCCTTGTGAGGGGCCTTGTGAGGGCCTTGTGAGGGCCTTGTGAGGATCCTTGGGGGCCTTGTGAGGGCCATGCAGGGGCCTTGAGGGCCCTGTGAGGGATCCATGTGAGGCTTGATAACATGTCGCAGGGTAAGGCACTCGTGAAGGTCATCTGATGTACATCACTCCCTCACTCCTCACCCCGTATGTATACGAGTTGCCTATTGGGCATTTACTCTTGTTTTATTGCTGTTATAGCCTCTCTTTTCACCATAAACTAAGAGGCTTAAGATCCTCCAAAAGGTCAGCCGTGGTCTTCATCATCGTCTTACGTGGAAGCATCTTGATTTTCTCCTGATATGGTTCCTTATATCTTGGTGTTACCTAATGGTTTCTAAGTATCTTGGTGTTACCTAATGATTAATTATTAGGGTGTTACTTAATGGTTCCTAGTATCTTGGTGTTTTAGTTACTCGTTAAGTATTAGGTGGTACTTAATAGTTCCTTGAGTATTAGGGTGTTACTTATTGGTTCCTTGTATTTGGTTGTTACTTTTGGATCCTTAAGCATTAGGGTGTTATTTAATGGCTTTAAGTATTGGTGTTACTTAAAGGTCTCTAATAATAAAAATTGATTGTTAAGAACTAAGAATTTTTAAGTGGGTGACGTTCATTTAGAAACACACACATATTACACACACACACACACCATAAGACTTATATAATATACAACTCAGACATCGTATCAAAATTTCCTTCTTTCACTTTTATTATTTTTGTTTTTACTCTTACCCTTGTGTGTGTGTGTGTGTGTGTGTGTGTGTGTGTGTGTGTGTGTGTGTGTGTGTGTGTGTATCAATTCATCATGTACGAGTGTGTGTGTGGTGTGCGTTAGCTGAGCTTAGTGTGTATGTGTACGTTTATGTACATTATGCGTGTATACTCTGACGGCATCGGGTTATTGTAACGACCCGGGGCAGAGTAATCATCACTAACGCTGTTATTGCAACACCCTCACCAGCCATTATCACACGCAACACACACGGCGAAAATTATGCCAGAAAATGGTTATGTGAGAAAAATCGTTGTTCTGTGAGATAAATCGTTGTTCTGTGAGAATAATTGTTCTGTGAGAATAATCGTTGTTCTGTGAGAATAATCGTTGTTCTGTGAGAATAATCGTTGTTCTGTGAGAATAATCATTGTTCTGTGAGAAAATTCGTTGTTCTGTGGAAATCAGAGATAAATCGTTGTTCTGTGAGAATAATCGTTGTTCTGTGAGATAAATCGTTGTTCTAGGAGAATAATCGCTGTTCTAAGGAGAAAATTCGTTGTTCTGTGAGAATAATCGTTGTTCTGTGAGAAAAATCGTTGTTCTGTGAGAATAATCGTTGTTCTAGGAGAATAATTGCTGTTCTGTGGAGAATAATCGTTCTGTGAGAATAACGCTGTTCTGTGAGAATAATCGTTGTTCTGTGAGAAAGAATAATCGTTGTTCTGTGGAGAATAATCGTTCTGGAGAATAATCGTTGTTCTGTGAGAATAATCGTTGTTCTGTGAGAATAATCGTTGTTCTGTGAGATAAATCGTTGTTCTGTGAGAATAATCGCTGTTCTATGGAGAAAATTCGTTGTTCTGTGAGAATAATCGTTGTTCTGTGAGAAAAATCGTTGTTCTGTGAGAATAATCGTTGTTCTGGAGAATAATCGCTGTTCTGTGAGAATAATCGTTGTTCTGTGGAGAATAATCGCTGTTCTGTGAGAATAATCGTTGTTCTGTGAGAATAATCGTTGTTCTGTGAGAATAATCGTTGTTCTGTGAGAATAATCGTTGTTCTGTGAGAATAATCGCTGTTCTGTGAGAATAATCGTTGTTCTGTGAGAATAATCGCTGTTCTGTGGAGAATAATCGTTGTTCTGTGTGAGAATAATCGTTGTTCTGTGAGAATAATCGCTGTTCTGTGAGAATAATCGTTGTTCTGTGAGAATATCCTTTGTTCTGTGAAAATTCGTTGTTCTGGGAATAATCGTTGTTCTGTGAGAATAATCGCTGTTCTGTGAAAAATCGTTGTTCTGTGAGAATAATCGTTGTTCTGTGGAACGATGCGACAGTCTCAGCTCAGCCAATTTGTCTCTGATGGGATTTACAGTATATTTAGTAAGACCTTATCAAACATGGTGCCTTAGGTGTGTGTGTTAGTATGTTTATATTTTTCTGATTGATTAATGTTTCTTTATTTTATAGGTGGAAGAAACAGAGAGAGATATGGTGGTCAGGTCAGGTCAGGTCAGGTCCAGGTCAGGTCAGGTCAGGTCAGGTCTTATACTTGCTCCTCACTCGTGTTTGTTTACCTTTAGTCATCACAAAATGGCGACCAGATGACGTCATATCCTCCCACGCCGCCATCTTGTATACCTGGACCTTTACTTATCTAGTCAATTATCTGCTTCTCTCTCTTCTCTCTCTTCTCTCCTATTTTGTGAGGTGGAT